GTCAGTTCAGCGCGCGAGAGCCAAGAAACAACGAAGCTGCGCGAGTGGCTCCCAGGAGAGGAGGTGACAGCAAGTAAAACCCCGGCAACCCTTCGCCTCCCACCTGCAGCGGGGGCCGCACGGGAGGAGTCACCAGTGTGGCACTGCTCTATTCTCGGGCACCATTTTGGCGTGACCAAGGCCTGACGGGGGCAACTGTGGGTGAAAACAACCCCTTTCGGTCCGTCTTGCTGCCCTGGCTCTCAAGGATGGGCCCCCGCTGCCACCCCACGTCAAAGCCACCGCGCAGCAGCCCCACAGGGAACAGCCACGGCCTGGGCACAACGGGCTCTCGCTGCCATTCAGAGCTCTTTTACGGGGGCGAACCCGCCTTCACCGGCCCCTCATCCCCTGTCTGCTGCCCGCCAGGTGCTGCCTGTGCAAAGCCAATGGGGACGGGGGGGCTGGCCAGCCCTGCTCCCTTCTGCCACCCTCGGCCGCGTTATGAGGGATGCGGATGCAGGGGATGGGGACGCCCACCCTGCGTGGGGTGGGGGCTGCGCCCTGCCCTCGCTTCTTGGCCCCCCAAAGCACTGGCAGGCTGAGAGATGGGGGTGGTGCGTCGCTGGCACACGGCACTGGGGGGGATGTGGCACTGCAGGGGCGCGTGCGGGGACAGGAGCTGTTTCCCTGCCGCAGTGCCGGTCCCGCTGCGCCGGACAGCTGCGGGATGGGGGCACGGGCACACTCACTCGCCCCCACCCCACGGCATGGCCCCGGCAAGGCCTTACCACCTCGAATTCCGCCTGGTCATCCTCGGGCACGTCGCTGGTCTCGTAGACGTCAGGTTCGTTCCAGGCCTGGGGCACAAATGGGCTCCGGTGAAAGCTCAGCTCTCCTTGGCTATTTATTATCCATTTATGATCAAATCATAGAATCATAGAACCGTTTAGGTTGGAAAAGACCTTTAAGATCACCAAGTCCAACCACTAACCCAGCGCTGGCAAGGCCACCACTAAACCATGTCCCCAAGCACCACATCTCCCCAGCT